CCCTTTCAGCATCTTTTTTTTTCCACATCAAAGTTTCAAATTTATTAATCTTCTCATGAGACCGGACAGTGGAGCATGCTCTGCTCTGAGGGTGCTCCCCAGGGGCTCTGTTTTCAGTCTCTCATCTGTCAGCTAGTGTGTGATCCTGGTCCAGGTGACACATTTCCATTTTAGTCATTCGCTCATCAATGACAGCGAACCCCTTTTAAGGTAAACAAAATGTACTGAAATTATTTTATTCAAATAATGCCCCTTTGCATAAGCACCCATGAAATAACACTTTCAAAGAATTTTGGAACAATTGATTTTTCTGATTCCAGACAACTCAAGAGAAATGAAGGCTTGTACAATTCCATAAGGAGATGGCAGGTGCTAGTTTTGAAGACACCAGAAAGCTGGGGCATCTGGGGGTAGGAGTGAGCAGTCAGGGGGTAGCGGTCACAACAGGATCATCAAAATATGGTCGAGCCACCTGGGATCTAAGAGGAGAGCTGGAATCAGCCACACATTCTAGCAGGGGAAAGCTGTGCAAGATACGGTGGCAGGCCCATCATAATGTGGTAAAGACAAAAAGCCAATTATCATTCTGATTATAGCACAGTCCTTAGGCATTTTCTCTGGCTGTAGTGGCCCAGAGAAAGAACTTCAAATAGAACATAAAAGGACATATTAAGATACAGAGAACGGCACCAGTATTATTTTTAAACCAAAAGGAACATTAGACATCCATCCATACTCTCGTTTCATAAATGAGTAAAAGGGACCCAGAAAAGACAGGCAAGTTATCCATACAAGCCCAGAATCTTATCTGCAAAGGTAGATCGAGAATATTCTTCTCTGATTATTCAGTTGGATTCTGTTGTTGCTCACTGAAACAAACAAACAAAAAACAAAACAAGAAACCAAAATAGTACATCTTGGGGCTCCCTGGTGGTGAAACGGGTTAAGTGTCGGCACTATGAAGCTATCACCAGCCACTGCAGCACTAGTTCAATCCCCGCCAGGGAGCTACTCACATGGAGCAGCAGACCTCTCCTGTCTCGCCCGCTGCTCCCCTCAGCAGTGTATTTCAGTAGATCTGCCTGGTTTGCTCCCCACTCTGTCTCTGGTGAATCCTCTCACCCCCCACAACTCTGGCCTACACCCCAGCTCTTGTATGCATAAATAAATAAAATAAATCTTTAAAGAAAACAAATTAATATATGCTCATGGTAAAAAAAAAATCACATTATGGAGAAGGGCGTAAAGCTAAAGACATAGACACTCAGCTGGTAGTTTTCTATCTCATTCCCTAGACATCAATCACTTTCTATATATCACTCCTGAAATTTGTGTGGACACAGATGGGCTCCGATTGTTTCCTTCAGAATTTGCTTTTTTATCTTATTTTCTGCCTGGAATACCAGTGCATATGGATCTGTTTAGTTTTCGAATGACTATAGAATTCCCCTGTATGGACATTCTATTGTTTATATCACAGGCTATTATAAGCAAGGCTGCAACAAGTATTTATATATATATTCTATATGTGCATATGTGCAAGTTTATCCGTAGGGCAGATTCATAGAATGTTGAGCTAACTGCTGAGTTAAATCGTGAATTGTTAAGTTAAATGATTTGCAGGTTTAAATATTTTGATAGATACTAACAAATTAATCTCCAAAGAGTTTCCATCAATTAATATATACTCCCACCAACAATGTGTGACTGTGTTTATTTCCCCCCTCCCTCTCCCTACAATTTATTGTCAAGCAATTTCTTCTTTGTTAGACTAATGGGTAGAAAATGATGGCTCACGTTTGTTTTAATTGACATTCTCTTAGATGTGAGAGATGCTGAACAATGTCTTGCTATTCATATGTCATGTGTTTTTCTCCCTCTGTGAACTGTCTGTCCATGTCCTTGCTCCATTTCCCATTAGCACCATGGACTCTTTACATATGGAGGGTTTTTTTTTTAATGTATTAAGGGAGCCACCTCTTTTTTAGCTTTTCAACAGCTTAAAATATTTTTCTATCTCAATCGGGTTCATTAGCTCTCGTCCATCCCAACTTTCCCCAGTTTCACATTTCCTGGTAATTTTTCTTTTCCTTTTTCTTTTTTAAAAGATTTATTTTACTTATTTATGCATACAAGAGCTGGGGTGTAGGCCAGAGGTGGGGGGTGGTGAGAGGACTCACCAGAGACAGAGTGGGGAGCAGAACAGGCAGACTGAGTGAAATGACAGGAGAGGTCTGCTGTGCCATGTGGGTCACCTCCCTGGTTGGGGGTGAGGGATTAGGGGTGTGGGGGGCTGGCCAGGGAGCTGACCCATATGGTGCAGCAGACCTCTCCTGCCTAGCCCACTGCTCCCCTCAGCAGTGTATTTCAGTAAATCTGCCTGTTCTGCTCTCCAATCTGTCTCTGGTGAATCCTCTCACCTCCCATACCTCTGGCCTGCACCCCAGCACTTGTATGCATAAATAAATAAATATTTTTTTAACTTTTTTTTTTTTAATTTATAAAAGCACTGTGTAGTCAGAAGCACGGGAGGGTGAGAGAATTCACCAGAGCCAGAGCGGGGAGTAGAACAGGCAGACTGAGGAAGAACATTGCTGAGGGGAGCAGCGGGCGCTGCAGGAGAGGTCTGTGCACCATGTGGGACCCTCGCCTGTGGCCGGGGATCGAACTGGTGCTGCAGAGGCTGCTGGCAGCTTCGCAGCCCAGCGCTCAACCACTGCACCACCGGGGAGGCCCAGACAGGTGTTCTTTAAAAGCAGGGTGTTGTCCATTAGTAAAGCAGCAGGGAAGGCACATGCATAGGATGAGACGTGTCTGACATCCTGATGCTGACCTGGTAGGTGCAGAGGCCACGGTCAAAGACCAGAGTGCCGGCTCTAGCAGCTGTGAACAAGCGCACTCAAGCGCCTTGGGCCGACAGCACCACCAACCTGAATGAGGCTGGAAGCAGCTTCTTCTCCAGATAAGGCCCAGGCTGACCCTACGCAAAGGGCCCCTCTGCAACAGTGTGGTCTCCATGGAAAGGGGAGCTTCCAGGCTCACTGCCCCACCTAATGAAGGGAGGAGCTGGTTGCTGGGGAAGGGGCTTGGAGAGAAGACTTGGACAAGAGAGAAGTCTTGGAGGAGGCACGTGGAGCAGAAAGGTGTGAAGAAGTGCTGGCTTCTCAGCTTCGACTTGCACCAGGGACTAGGGGGACATGTGGGTGAGAGACCCATGGGTAGGCTGGCAATGGCCGCCTTTATCTTGACTTGTACTTGGCTTTGCTTCTTTCCTTCCAGACTGGCCTGGTCCCTTCTGCCCCTTACCCATGGCTTCCCACCAGAAGGTGCCTTAGACTTGTGGCAAGTTTTTGGGCCTCAATGACCCTGCTTTGGGTCAACCCCGTTTGGCTGGACCCTTACCCATGAGGGGATGGGTAACTTTAGGTGTTTCACTAAGCTGTTATGCTTTCTTCTCTTCTCTCTCCATGCACACTAATCCTATTAAAGTTCTTTTTTTTTTTTTTTAAAGATTTATTTATACAAGAACTGGGGTACAGGTCAGAGGCACGGGAGCGTGAGAAAGTTCACCAGACAGAGCGGGGAGCAGAACCAGCATAAGGACTGAAGACACTGCTGAGGGGAGCAGCTGGCGAGGCAGCAGAGGTCTAGCACGCCATGTGGGTTTCTCCCTGGCCAGCCAGGGATCGAACTCATGCTACAGAGGCTGCAGACCGCTTCACAGCACAGTGCTCAACCCACTGCGCCACCGGGGAAGCCCTATTAAAGTTATTTTTTATTAAAGGTCTTACACACTAGGCTTTGGCTTAATGCAGTGGATGGTGGAATTCATTTAGAGCATGCAGGCTTGGGGGTACTGGGGTGCCCCTCTGTCTACCCACAAACACCTTGAGCCTGCTCAGGCTTCTCACCTGCAGAACTGCAAGCTAGGAAATGGGTGTTGTTTCCCAGCGATAGTAATGAATGCACGGGTCATCTTGCTTGGTCCTCACAACCATGTCAAATGGAGCGTTCCCATGGTTGTACAGATGAGGAGACAGGTCAGCCAGGCGAGGGGCTTTGCCCAAGGTCCGCAGAGAGATAGTGTCTCAGGGGCACTGAAGCTCTGGGCTCTTGGCATCTCACGCGGTTGTTTCATAAAGAGGGGCTGGGGAGCTGGGAGCTCATTATGAGGGGACGTCTCGGGTCTGGTGTTGGGTGGACGCTGGGGACTGGAGTCCTGGCTTCCAGGGGCCGCTGTGCTGACGGTGGGGGTCTGCGAGTGTGAGCCTCTGGGGGTGTGTGGGAGTGTCTGAGTGTGTGACTCAGGGTTGGTGTAGGGGTCTGAGGGCATCTGTCACCAGGAGTGACCGGTCTGTGCCGCCGCGCCTGGGGTGAGCACTTGTGTGTGAGTCTGAACTTGTCTTACATCTGCGTGGGATCTGAGGGGCCTCTGCGCGGCTCTCCGAGTGGCCACGGGTGACCTCGTGTGTCACCGGCTGCGTCTGCAGGTCTTTGGCTGTGGTCGTTTCTGGGTGTACCCACCCGGGTGGGTCCCTGGGTGTGGCCCGAGGGGTAGGTGGGCGCATCTACCTGTGTGAGTTTCTGGCGTCTGAGGGTGTGCGTGGAGCGGTTCCACAAGTGTCTCCAGGTGTGCGCCTGGGTGAGCCCGGGGGGGGGGGGTGTGTAAACGCATCCGAGGGTCTCGGGGTGGGAGGCTGAGCGCGGAGGGGCGGCGCCTGTCGCTCCGGGGGTGACTGTGTCCCCGGGGGAGGCCTGTCCGTCGGCGACCGGCGAGCCCGAGGGCCGGGCGCGGGGCTGGACACGGCGGGCGGGGCCCGGGGCGCGCTCTCCCTCGGGGCGCGCTCCCCGGCGGGGCTGGGGGCGGCGAGGCGGGGCGCCGCCCGCGCCCTCCCGGCCCCCACGCCCCGCGCGCGTCGCCCCCTCCCCGGGCCGCGCCGATTGGCTGCGGCGGCGGCTCCGAGCCCGCCCTGCGCGGCCGGCGGGGGGCGCCGCGGGCCAGAGCGCGCTGCGCCGCCACAGCCGCCGCCGACGCCGCCGCCGCCGGGAGCCCCGCGCGCCGCCCGCTCCCGGCCCGCCGCCCGCCGCCGCCCCGCCGCCCGCCCGCCCCGCCGCGGAGCCCCGGCCCGGCCCCGGGCCGCCGCCACCACGCCGCGCGCCGTACTCCGCGTCAAGAATGGGGCGGCCAAGCTGCCCAAGCCGCCCGCCGCCGCCGCCGCGGCCGAGGCGCCCGGCGCGGGCGCGGGCATGGAGCGCTCGCAGAGCCGCCTCAGCCTGTCCGCCTCCTTCGAGGCGCTCGCCATCTACTTCCCGTGCATGAACTCCTTCGACGACGAGGACGCGGGTAAGCGCGCGGCGGCTCGGGCGCCCGAGGGGAGGCCCCCGCGCCCGACCCGGTGCGCCCCCGAGGCGGCCACTCGCCTCCCCGCCCCCAACCCGCTCGGGGATGCGCCCCAGGGTCGCCTTCCCGCTCCGCGGGCCCCCAAGGTCCCAGAGATGCCCTGTCTCCTCGCCTCCTGCCGCCCCCTGGGGACCCCTGGATCCTCTGCATTCACCCCTTTCCCGCAGGTGGGCCCTTGGGGCGCCAGGACCCGGCTCTCGCTACTCACCTGCGCCTCCTAGGTGCCCCCTGGCTTGTCCCTGGATCCGATCTGCCCCCCCCCCCAGTCTCCCCTGTATGCCCTCTCGGCCAAGGCGAAGCTCTGGCCGCCGCACCCCTGGAGCTCCGGCGCGCCCCCCGCCATTGGAGGTGGCGCGCGGACCTTACCTCTCCATCTTTGTCTTGGCTGCATCCAGACCCCCCGCCCTGCGCCCAAGGCCGTGGACGCCCCCATTTGTGTCCCCTCCCCTCCCCCGAGGAGACGTGGGGGCTCGGACTCTCGGTGCTTCTCCGGCTGGGTGGACCCAGGGTGACGGCCTTTCCTTCGCGCTTGCTGGGGCGGGAGGGAGGCGTGGGGCGGCGGCTCCTCTACACCCGCGCGCCCTCCCGGTGTGCCCCTGCCCGCGGGTGCTCTTGTCCCTGGAGTCACCCTTCTGGGTGGGCCTGACCCTGGCGGCCGTCCCCGCTACCTGCCGGCAGCGCAGCCAGGGCCTGGGGGTGGGGAGATGTAGGAAACCTGCTCTCTGGGGCCCTGGGACAAGGCAGAGGGAACATGAGGGCCCCCATCTAGATCTGGGGTGAGGAGGAGCATCCATCAACAGGTGGGGTAGCTGGCGGGCTTGGGTGAGAGTTCCCCAGGATGTGCCCTTGTGGAGTCATAGTCAGGGTTCAGTCCTCTCTACTTCTCATCAGCTGTGACCTTGGGCAAGTTATAAGTTGGGTATCCTGACCCCGATTTCCTCTTCTGTAAAGTGGGATGCAATGCCTTAGACACGAGGGTCTATATGGTGTGAGGATTGAGTTAACTGCGTTTTATAAGCTGAAAATCTGGGAGTATTTGGATTCAATGAGGGGACAGAGAAGGGGGTGTATGTCATGGCATGTCGGGGCACAAAATGGTTTCATGGACACTTTTGACATCCTGATGAAGAAGACATGGACTGTATCTTATGCACCTCCCCCCCCCCACACACAAAATTTTGTCTTCAAGTTTTAGGCAGTTCATGGACCCTGGTTTTAAACTCTCCGCCTGTAGGGACCCCTGTCTGGTCAACCAGTGAGCTGGTAAACCATGACAGAGCAGCCGGTGGTGGGTGCTCAGACTTCCTGCTGGAGCAGGAGGCTGGTGGGGAAAAGGAAGGAAGTCTGTCCAGAAGAACTGGTTGATGTATACATGGGGGGATGCAAGGCAGACCTGTGGCTGACTTGGACCCGGGAGGGGGCGTGGGGGGTGAGGATGGTTGCTGTAGAGCCAGCCATTTTACAGAAAAAATAATGGAGACCCAGAGGCTTCATTGCCCCCTTGGTGGAGCTAAGGGAGCTCGTACTGTTACTCTGGTCAAGGCACAGAGAGGTGGAGTGGGGGCAGCTGTCTCACAAAGTGGCCTATGCTGGGGGCCCCACCAGCTTAGGTGAGCCGACTGCCCCACCTCCCTTCACTGGTGGTCAGGGTCTCTCCTGAAGTTCAACAGGCCCCTGGGGGCTCAAGGGCCAGGTTGGGAGGGACATGGTTTGTGGCCCACCAGTGGCAGTGAGGTGTTTCTCCAAAGTCAGACTCCGTCATGGGGACACTGCCTTGGTTATTGATGCAGGTGTTGCAGGCTGCTCGCTCTGGTTTCCTTAAGCCAGAGTAGATAACTTCATGCAATATTAGGGATTTTTCTAAATAAAGGTCCACCGGAGGATTTTTTTCCCCAGTGGGATTCTTCATATTCTTGTTTTCCATTTGGCTGAGACCTAGAAATTATCTTGTCCAACCCCTTGTTGCCCCCAAAGTGTGTGTGTGTCTTAGTGTGAATGTAAATGTGTGAGAGGCTGAGCTCAGTGTGTGTGTGTGTGTGTGTGTGTAACCCAAGGTCACCCAGTGAGGCAGGCACAGTCTAGACTAAAGCCAGGTTTCCTGTTCTCTTTCCAGCAAAGCCGTAGCCCTGTCTTTGAAAGAGGATTCTTTTCAAAAGCCAAAGCTTGCTGTATAGAAAATGGTTCCCAAGTGAGGGGCTCCCAGGGAGCCGTTGGCAGCCATGAGTTTGGTTTGGGTATCTTGCCCTCCCTGTCGGCTCCTCTTGAGGGGTGCATTGAGTTTGGGTGGGGGAGGGAGAAAGTCAAGTTCATTTCCGGAAGACTAATGAGTGTCTGATGAAAATCGGAAGCAGGGAACGTTGTCTTGGTGCTTAATTTCTCTTGTTCTTCTCAAAGTCACTAATTTTCTCCTAAAAAAAACCTTTTGGATTTATTCTTTTAGAACAGCACCGCATGAACTAATTCCTAAAAGCAGTGTGAATAATCTTTCAGATACTGGACAGAGAGTGGTGGGTAGGAGGGCTGGCTGAACTGGCTCCATGTCCCTTTTCTCCTGCTCCTTATGCCTGCTGTTCCCTGGTAGCTCCTGGGTATAACCCTCTTGGGTCTCTGGCTCGCCTGCTTTGTTGCTGTCTTGACTCCTGTTGAGTGCATCTTCTTCATTACCCTGACCCAGCCAGAAGCATCTTCAGGGCTTCCATGCTACCCTTCAGCTGGTTTCCTGAGAAACGGTGTGAGGAGGAGACTATTTCATTAGCCTTAACTGGGCCAGGGCTCTTTCCTGCCTTGGGCTTGGGAGCCTTGGACATTTTGTGGGCAGAAAAGCTCCCCTTCCCTCCACCCCTATCCAAACATTGGGGGGGCTCAGCCTGCTGGCCAGCACAGATTCCTAGAATCTTTCTCAAGGAGTATCTTCCTTCCTGCACACTGAACTCATTTCTTGTATTGCTTGTGACAGCTTCACAAAGATGCTGGCACTTGGGGGCATTTTGTGTCCCTGTCTTCCTGGCCTAGCCTTGCTGGGTTTGCAGTTGGGGTGGGGGGGTGGGGGGTGGAGGTGGGATGAGGTAGGGACAAGTTAGATCCTCCCTCATCTCAGGTTTTCTCATGGATCTGCATAAGAAAGCAATGGCATGGACCCCATAGGATCAACATTTGAAAAATGATTACCTTTTGCCAGACATCCTCCTAAGCAGTTTAAGTATATTATCTGTATCCTTTCTTCACAACAGTTCTGTGAAATTAACACCCCATTTTCAGATGAGAAAACTGAGGCACCAAGAGAGTAAAATGTTCAAGGTCACTCAGCTGAGAAGTGAGGGAGTTAGGATTTGAACTTCAGCAATCTGACTCAAGCACCTCTGCTTTTAATTGTATCGTATGTGCTTTGTAAAGGGTTTAGTAGAGTACCTGGCCCCAGGTAGACTCTCAGTACCTGTTAATTTATTACCAAGCAGGACGTGTTTTTGAGCATAACTGTAACAGAGATCTTTGGGCTCGGGGAGAGGAAAGCTTGATACTCAAAACGTTGGCTTTTATAATTTTTATAAGCTAATTTTAGTGCATTGTTCTAGCTATTAAGGCAGAGTTGGCCCTCCTTGTTGCAAGTGGTTTAAGGATGGGATTTGGGGGGCTTGCATGCTGAACGAGAGGGTGGGGAGCCTTTCAGTTCTCCGTTTCCCTGCTTTTCCTTAATAGCTCATTTGCATTACTTTACAGTCCTAGCCCTGCCACTCTGCATTGGGGCACAGCTGGGAGTAGGGGTGTCTCCAGCTTCTAGCAAATGCCAAAGGGGGTTGTTACATCAGAGTCTGGAACTGAGAATGGTGTTCCTGAGTCTGACCAAGTGGTTTCGGCGTCCAGTTCTCCCCCGCCCAGGAGAGGGGCGGAGAAGCTGGAGCAGCCAGCTCCGATTTGCTCAAAGGATGCTTCGATCCAGTCAGTGCAGGGAGGAAGTTGCCATGGCAACACCGGCTGGCTACCCGGCCCTCTTCTAGCAGTTCGGGCCACATCTCTGGGTTGCAAAGTCCTTCTCGGCACCTTCTCTTCCGCTCCAGCCAAATCTGGGGGTGGGGTGGCATGGTGGCTGGGCTCCACAAACCAGTACAAAGCCCACTTCCCTTGTTTTTGGATAGAAGGGAATGGGAGGGGGTTGTCTGAGTTTCCTCTCCTAGGTTGCAGGGTGGAGATACCCATATCCTGCCAGCAGATCCCGGCAGGGGGAATCAGAACTCCAATTCCGTCACCACCCCCAGGCACCTGGAATGACCGCACTGGAATTCTTCCCTCGTAACCCCATGTTACTCCATTTGGCTGAGTTTTCTTTCCCAGACAGACGCTAACTCTTGTCCTTGAGATATGACCTGAGCCTTTTCTGGGAAACAAAATGTCCTACTGTCCCACCCGTTCCCCCTGTGATGGTGGGAACAGGGTGCTTCAGCCCTGGGGGGGGGGTGGGCGGTCTGGGGCTGGGTGGAAAAGGAGGATGATGAGAGGGGAGGCCTTAAAATATCCTTTGGGATTGGGGCCTCTTGAGGACGTGAGGTTGAGGTTTTGACTGTCATCCCCAGTGCAGGCCACTTCCTGTCATTCTCCCCCCTCCCCAGTTTACCACCAAGTGGGTGAGCTTGTGGACCCAAACTACTTCATGTTAATCAAATTACCCTGTGAGAAGTCTTTCAGAAATATTAGGTGTATGAGGATCCGCCCCTCCCCGCTACACAGAGGACTGGCCTCCGGATCTGCTCTGATATTCTTAGAGCTTTTCCCTTCAGTTCCCTTCCCTGCATGCACCCCTCTTTCCTGTCCCCAAGCTGCCAGACTCATACCTCTGACTTCCTTGGTGTTCATAGCTGCCAGAGGCCCACCTGGCTCTGTTCGGTGTGAAGAGGAAGCAGGGGTCCATCTACCTTGTTTCCCCTTGAGGATGATGCTCTGCCGCCCCG